CACTTGCTTATAGAGTTGATAGGCAGATGCTTAAAGCCTCTCTGTTGTTTATAAGTACTAGCTCCCTACATAAATATATTTTGGTTCCCTGCAGCTGCAAATGAAGATGCCATAAAACTGAATGAGACACTCAGAACTCAAGACAAGACCTTGGAGAAGAGTCTTCCAGAACTGCAGAATGAGGCTGAAAGAATGATTGTAGAGATGAGAAATAGAGAGCTGCATATGCAAGAAAGAATAGCTCAAGATGAATTAACGTGAGTAAAGAGATCTCAGTCTTCAACCTCCCAGTGTTAATATCTGACTCTTATTAATGTGATTGTCATCTTTTCCAATCGAGTTTTCAAGCTGGGGGTTACAGAAATGTGAAGGAAAGCAAAGCGTAATACTTCATCTCTGTTAATGTAGCATTTGCATTTCTGGAAATGCTTATGTATGTGGAAAGCAATCCCTAGGAAATTATTTCTCTGCTCCACAGGTGCCAGCAACATTTCTAATTGAATTGTAAGCAATTTTTCTCAATTTGTTTTTAGATTCTGCTTCAAACCTGATGAATGGCTTTCGTACTGTAAAGTTTGTCTAAAAGCCCATTGAGGGGGGTTTCTGGAAAACTAGTTCATTTAATAAAAATATTATCTGTTTAAAAAGTTTGCCAGTAGTATAGACATTCAAAATGATGCATTTTGCCATGTGTAAAATAGTGTAGCACAGCTGAGAAGCCTAGGGTTTGCTTAGATATCTGTAAAATAATGATTATATATTGAGGAAATATATGTATTATATAAATAAAATTATATTGGCAGCTGTTTATAAAGTATTTTACAAAATGCTGAAAACTTACTTGATCCAGAAAAGTACTTGGGTTGAAGTTCTGGTGGTCTAGTTACTTCTGTATGAGTCAGACCAGGGCCTTTCAAATATGGTGTTCTTAGTCCTCAAATGCTACAGTCAACATGAAATTGTCAGACTGCCATGAAATAATTTCCTACTGTAGTCCAATAACTAGAGTAGAAAATGCAGTAGGTGTTTTTTGATGGAAAGAACTTCTTTACTTCTTCCATTCTTCCTGGAATGTACAAAGCAAGTGTTTAAATTTCTTGGTAAAGGAATAAGTTTTATACTAAGAGATACATGAATATATTCACTGATTTCAATCAAAATCGTATGGCTTTATCTTAAGGATAGGGTTACATCTTTATAAGCAATCATTGAGATCCAAGAAATTTTGGCAGTGAACTCAACAGAAGGAAAATTAGTCACTGTGGATTACAGGGTGGGGAGGATGGGGCCCTGGATAATGTTTTCTGAAACTGCCTATGAAGAAAAATGTTATAAAACTGCTTAAATAGTGTAGTAAGATAGTGGATAGGATACATTCCAGAAGGAAGAAAGGATGAAGAAAAATCAGTCATTCTTAGAACTCTGCAGGTGCACACGCATGTGTGGATTGCTATGCTCATATGTATTCTCTACAGACTCATTTAGAAATATTTACTTTTGAATAAAGTAAGGCTCTGCAAGTCTCATGATCATTTTGGAGTAGTTAATCATGTTTACTCTTTGGTGAGATGTCTTTTGGCAGTGATTGTATTCTGTTTTCAGAATTCTGTCCAAGAACAGTGGATTCTCTATTATATTTCAGTGACTTCTCAAAAGTTAAATTAAGAAGACAAATGAAATAAAGTCTTCTTGCTTTTATGGATATCAAAACTTCTTTTACATATGCAGGTTTTTTCCTTATTTTTCTTCAACCTTTACAAATCCAGTCTGTAATCTGCCATAATATATTGAAATGGCACATTGGTCAATAATTTCTCTCTAAAAAGAGCGTGGTAGAAATACACCAGTTACTGTTCTGGACTGCCCTGATTCTCATACTTATGAAATAAATCTTTCAATGTTTTATTACATTCCTTCATAATTTCATAGATGCCACTGAGTTGCTGTCAAGGGATGCTGTGAGCCAGAATTCTATCTTTCTGTTTAGTATGCTGAATAACTTTATTTTTGTGTGACTTTTTCTTCCATGAATTTGTCTGATGGCTTTTGAGCAACTGTGAACTTCTGTCATCCAGTTTCCTGCAGGAATGAGTTACATAACTCAGCTACACTGTGTTTGAAGATATGCCTCCTGCCTGTGTTTTGACACTGCTTCCTGATATTTTTATTTTTGTATTTGGAGAGACATTGGACAGTTGATCACCTTATCCATGTTATTCATGATGTTACAAGCCTTATTTCTTCTCCAGATAGGACAATTCTAACATATTTAGACTGTCAGTTGGAGTTCTTTTAATAATTTTGTCATCTGTTTCTGATCTTTCTTGTGTGCCCTTGTACTCATTTTTGAGGATCCAAACCATACAGTATTCTAGGTGTTGGGCCAAATTGTTTCTTCTAACACTTCACAGATTTTGTATAGTTTTATACCTTTTTCTAGAATGGTATCCAGTGAAAGTAGCACAGTTTCAATGTATGAGAGAGTATTTCAACAAAAGTGATGCAGTATAGTCACACAGCAGTTCTGGTACCTAAAGCAAGGGATTACATGTAACAGATTTATTGCCTCATACTTCATTAGAAAGAGCAGAGGGGAAAACGCACAACAGATCGATATGGAAGTGTTATCTTTAGAGCACCAAGAAAGAGTTTTGAGGTGGACTACTGGATGGATAGTTTGAACTGTGCTATGAAGCAAGGGAATAAAAAGGAAATCCGTCTGTCTTGTACTGTTCCTCCAGTACTGCAGAGCGATAAGGTTGTCAAAATTTGCCAGAAGGATAAGACAGGAGCTTCTTACACAAAGAATAATGGAGGAGGTATGGGAAAAATCCTGAATTCCTTTCTACCCTTCTTTTGTGACAGAGTGTCAATACTGGGATTTAGTTTCTGATTAAATATTTTGTCCTAAGAAGTTGCAAAATCACAATGTGAATAATTTTTTTCATTAAAACCAAGGGCGGGATAGATAGGAAAAAAATCCATCACAGAAACAGCCAAAGCTAAGATAACAATTTGACTTTCCTTGGCTCCAGTTCAGATCCTTCATCTAAATTATGTCCAATGTCAACATATCTTTACCACCTTTCAGATTTTTTTTTTGATGTGCATTTATTTATGTGTTTATTTTTAGAAGATTTCTAGTGGAACCTACTATAGACAGGCCAAACTGCAATGTTTTTCAAAATATACAGTTCTTGTTTTCTACACTTTGGCATAATGAAACAGGAAGAAAAATTTAATCTGTTCTAGGTGGAAGTGCAGTAAATTTCTTCTGAAAGTATTATCTGTCCTACAGATTCCTGTTTACTTAGGATTTTTATCTAAAGCATCATTTTAGAAGTGCCTGAAATACCCCCTTTTTTTTTCCTGTCCTTGAGATACCATTGCATTAACACAGTGGTGTTGCAATTCATGAAACTGATTCGATGGCCTGGTATCATGAGGCAGGCAAATGACACTAATCCAGTCCTTTCAAACTGGGGGCAGCAGCTCTCTGATGACCAAGAAATATGGCATTCCCTGCCAAAAGCAGATACTTTTGAAGTTTCTATTTCTTTGTTGCCAAAGTCCATTAAAAATGTCCCAGAATTTATTTTAGACTACCTAAATTCTGTCTACTGGAAGTAATAAATCCAAGGATTCTGGTGGGTTTTGTTGGGTATTTTTCACTGGAAAGCATTTATGAGTTTTGATTGTCTAGTTCAAAGCAGTTGTCTGCTTCAAGACAGCTTGAAATGAGTCATATCTACATGTTCCCCTCAGTTCAAGGTAGGAAAGCATTTTGTGTTACATGTCACATTAATGTGAATGAAGGAAATCTTTTTGACAAGTTGAAATGTTTCAGAAAACACCACTTTACTTGTCAGATCTCAAGAATGGCAATTAAATAAAATTTTTTCAAAAAGGCAATCTTTAATGGAGAAGAGTGATTCCATTTACTCTGTTTATTTACTTCATCAATAGGACCTTAGTGGTATTTAAAAACTGCTTTTAAGAAAGGGCTTAAGAGCAACTGTAATTTTACTTTATTAAGTATGTGTCCTCTTGACAATTACTTTGAGGTATAATTTAGAAGTTTTATTTTATTTGCATGTTATTAAGACTATTCCGATTATTTGGTGTGGGAATATTAACTCTGTGCCTTCATGGTTGGCGACGTATTGCAGGAAGGCAGAAGATCTTTTGGACAAGGTGAAGAAATTATTTGGTGAGCCCAGTGAGAAGAATGAGGATCTCAAAAATGAGGTCCGGAACAAGCTAGCAAACTACCACACCAAAGTTGATGATGCTCGAGATCTGCTAAAAGAAGCTACAGGGAAAATTTGGGAGGCTGATCGTTTATCTGCAGTCAACCAAAAAAATCTGACCCTGTTAGAGGTGAGTGCTGACAAGTTTTATCCTTGTTTACTTGGATTCTGATCATAGTTTGAACCTTTGCATGATTAAATCTTGAAACAAAAATAAAAGCAAACCAAAAATATTATTAAAATATACCTGTATCTGATGCAATTTAGAGGAAACATGTTCCTCAGAATGAAGGAATGCATTGGCTCTTAAAAGTAGAATTACTCCACAGCTAATCGAAATAATATCATCTGCTTTGTGGAAGGTACATTGGATTTATTATTCTGGGAGAAATTAAATTCATCCTAGTATAAATAGTCATGTAAAATTCAAATCGTGTGCTCAATATTTAAATAGGAGTTCATTGAAAATCTTTGCTGTCATATATTTGCTCCTAGAAAACTTACACTTTCATCTCCCTCTCCAACCCCTGGGAAGAAGACTGAAGGGGGTATGTGGATATTACAGACTAATAAATCAAACTCAATCCTCTGTAGTTAGTAGCTATTATAAATGGTCTCATTCATAGCAGAGGGGTCTGCTTTTGATTTAATTTGAATTGCAGAGACTTAAAGAGCATATTACACTGTACATTAACAAGCATTTAACTAAGACACAAGGAGTAGAGTCAACCTAATGAAGATAAATGTTTCAACTCTGTATCTTGGTGAGCTTTCACCTCGAATACTATATGAGGTTAGAGTTCCGAGACCTCCATTCTCAGCAGAGATTTCTGGGCTTGATTGGGTTAAGGAAATACCGTGCTTTAAAGAAATTAGGTGATCTCTGTGCTGTGCATTTTCATCCCAAAAGTGGATGGATAAAGGTGGGAGAAATTACCTGCTCTCTCAGTTCTTTAAAGAATCTCTGCATCACAGCAAAAGAGTGCCTAGAGGATGTCCTTTCCAGCAGTCCTGCTCACATGGCTGTGGAGGTTTATTTGCTTTATTTTGACTCTGTTTTGACCAAGAAGCCATCACAGCACTCTTAATACTCGAGTGCTATGGTCTCCTATCAGACTTATCTGTGATGCACAGTGGATCTTTCACAGGAAATTGGCAATTCTTTATTCAGAAGTCCTTCCTGACTACACAATATGTAGTAGTAGTTCTTGGAAAAACAATAGTCCTAAGATACCTTCATCTTTTATTTTGCATTCCGTAGTTAGCGAAGCACCAGTGAATGTAAGTAAGCAAGAAGCAGAACATTTTGATAAATTTTTCCTTCAGAGCCAGAGAAGGTGATTTTCAAAATGAGGAACTTGCACATCTAAGTAAAGATGAGGCTTTATAACTTGTTTGTTATTCATTTTGCAGTAATACTGCAGTCAATTACCTCTGTTATAAAGCAACAAAAACTCTACCATGTGGGAGTGGGATGCAAAGCTGGGGATGGGAGGACAAAGAAAAGATACCTTACATTACATGTGCTTTATTGTTGTCACTGTCTTTGCTCTGGGAGCTCAGAGAATTCTGGAAGTGGCATTGTGGCATGGTGACAAAATGCAGTCTTATAGTGGGATGCTGGCATTCAAACTGGTATTCCTGTACTAGTAAACAATTTGTATTTTTCTTTGTGTGAACACCATCCTATAGAAAAAGAAGAAAACTGTAGAAGATGGGAGACAAGATGTTGAAAAGACACTTCAGGAGGGGAATGATATTCTTAATGAAGCCAACAAACTTGCAAATGAAATCAGCATAGCTGTAGAGGTGAGTGTTTTATCATCCTTACCTGATAATTAGTACAACAAAGCATCATTATGGAAGCGAAATAGAAAATTAAAGTAATACCTGATTTTTCATTTTGTTTATCAATGTTGGAGTATTTGAGCTGGGAGAATTCATTTTTCAATTGCTGTATGGCAGAAAAGCTAGTCTGGTATAAAAAAAATTATTAACTTGGAGCTTTAAGTGATTCATTGGATTACACAAAGAGCTAGCTCATAATTTTTCATGGACTCTGCCTGCATTTATAAATATGGTATTCTGATTGTGGTACTGACTTTATCTTTAGAACTGCAGATGCAGCAGACCCATTCACAATCTCACTGCGACTCTGATCTAGGTGTAGATTTATCTGTACAAGAACTGTGTATGCATATCAGAAAGAAACTTCAGAAATAATTTGTTGCCTGTGGCAACAATTTTAAGTCTAGATAGATCAGGGAGAGGAGAGGTTTGCACTCTCATTTTGCATAACATTTTGGAAAATTCTGCCTTAAAAGTTTTATCTACAGAGTTTGAGATCAGTGCCTTAGCTACAAAACAAAGATAATAATAATTTTCAAAATCATGTCTTGAAATATCATTAGTTATGGAAGTATTTCCAGCTTGCATTTAAATTTGTCATAGTTAATGGAAAAATGATTTTTGGAGAAACGAGAAAGGAAACACTTTGAGATGGCTTATTGGAACAGGAGTGGTAGGTCTGCAAAAAGTATAGTTCTTACTAAGATTCTTTGATAAACAAAAATACATTGCGCTCACTCAATGGGACTTGAAATATGAAACTTCTGTCACTGATTAGTTATTATCGTGGAGTACAACAACAAGTAAGTACAACTTTGTATGCATCTACATTTAGGAAACAAATCCAAATTAGAGTTTATAAGCTTTTAAATGTGCAGTTCCTTAATTGTAAAATAAAAGCTTTTACGAAGTTCAAGGGAGGCTAGTAGCTCTTACAATACTGTTTGTCTGCTCTCTGCTTTCCAGTCCAGCCATTCCTGTTACTCGTTCTGTATTAGTTTCCTGAAGTTTTAATGCAAGGGCAAATTGAGATAATAGCTCACAAGAAAAAACTATACATGGCTACAGAGTGCTTGCATTCAGCCATTTAAAGGCCTTTCTTTTGTCATTTTCAGTATGTAGAAGGTGTTGCAGATAAGATCCAGCCAATGTCTGATCAGCTAAAAGATAAAATAGATGACTTATCACAAGAAATTCATGACAGGATGCTTCCAGAAAAGGTGTTGCAAGCTGAAAACCATGCAGCCCAGCTGAATGAATCATCTGCAGTACTGGATGGGTAAGACACACCTTCACTTGTAATGATAAAATCCTGAAACAGGTTTACAAAATTGCTTCACAGAACTTGAACGGTGTTCTTCTTCAGCTTTGACATCTGTCACTGGGAGTATACACATAACCAGTGTTCTGGTATGCAACTATCCAGTTGGTTGATTTGTGTATCTCTTGTAAATGGTTTCACACATCTTGTGATGCTTATAGGCTGCATGAACTTCAAACAGTGTCCTCAGATGCACTCGTGACACAGTTAACTTATATGCTTATGGCTATGTTGATGTGAAAAAACCAGAAGTTCTTCTTAGAGAGCTCACTATGTGTTTTCGTATGCATTTGGTAAAAACAAAAAAAAAAGCAGTATTTTTATTTTTAAAATAACCATTTTGGTGGGAGACTCTTAACATGATGATAATTTCTTTATTGTCAAAAATCACCCATAGTAATGAACAGTATTTCCTCTAGTGGTTTCAAAACACTCTCCCAAATCGAGTAGGTGTCCTGGACCAAAATGGTTACACCTAAGTATAGAAGCTTCAGTTTTTGTTTACCACTATCACATTCCTAAATGTAAGTGAGAATTGCAATGCCCTTTGTTTATATGACCACAGAACTTTCAGAAGAATGATCCTTTATAACTCATCATGAATATAGTTTCCTGGAAAGAATATAAGATAAGGGGTTTGGGGATTTTTTGTTTGTTTTGGGGAGGAAGAGAGGAGGTGTCTTTTGTTTTATTGCATTTAAGAAAGAAAGCCAAAAATAGTAACCTTAATTTGCAGTAGTAATACTCAGAAATAGATCATGGATCTTCTGCCTCTTGAACTTGTCCCCAGCATAGCTTCAAAGGTTTATTAATTTATAAAAGCATTGCATGAATAAAAACAAAATTTTACACAGGTGTTTTCTTTTTTAAACATCAACAATATGCTACTTTTTTGCTGCTTACATCTTTTAGGTCTACCTGCCCTGAAGACTTGTGAGCAGATGCTTAACACATTTTTTTTTTCTTGCTAGCATCTGTAATTTTGAGGAAAAAGTAGAGATTTGTCTCTGATAAAGTGTCTGCTACTTGTTAAATTACTGGCTTCATTTACAGTGTAGTCACACTACTCTAGATATCCAGTCTAATATATGTTTCGAGGAGTGCATAAAATAATGATCGCTGTGTTTCCTGAGTAAAAAGGATTTGAAGGACACTGTTTCTAGAAAAACATGGCTCATGTGTCACATCTAACTACAGTACTGAATTTGAATATAAATCCATGGCATGAAGGAACTAAGAAGTAGAGAAAATGTAGACAAAAAAGAGTATTTTACCTCCTTAGTCAAATGCTGGCAAGATGTATATTGAGGTGGAGGTTTCTAAAGAGTGAAAAGAGACTTTTATGGATGTGTTCATGTGCTTTTGTCTTAATGCAGGTTGACAGCTTGGCCTTAAGGAACTTGGGGTAGTGCTTAAAGTCACATTCACTGTGGTATAACAGTACCATGTATACTTTTGTCTAATCCAGACATCAACCTCAGTTTCTCAAAATAATAAAAAAATTGCAGAATGAAGGGCATTAAAAATTATATCTAAAAGCAAATTGTTCAAAGTTAAAATTTCTGATGTGATCAGATAGATACAGAACTTCAAAGGACAAAGAAATACCAAGGTGCCATGTAATCCTGCACCTTGATAAAGCTGTTTATTTCATCCACCAACATTAAACAGTTTTACTTTACAGGAATATTCAGTCCCTATCAGTCTTAGGAATTAAAAAGTGTATTTATCTTCACAACCAGCACTTGGGTATCTTTCAGTTAATACTAAATTTGCTGTGAAATACCATTTTGTCTTACAGGAGAAATTGATGGAGAGCCCTTTCTCTTCAATCACCCCTCAAGGATTCAAATAGCATGTTGAAAGATGGCAAGGATGTTATCTTGAGTGTTAGAACATGGAACAGTTCATAAATTTAACCCAGAAAAAAATTTTAGTTTTCCTGTATGCAAGAAGGTGTTAGTAAAGGCTTCTCCCTTATGGCTAATTGCCTGCTCATGAGTAAATGCCATTGGTATTTAGCAAATTCACTTTGGTTCCCTCCTAACCAGATGATTTTTGAACCATATTTCTAAGCAGTGCTTGAGCTACTAGCTACATAGCTATTCTGGGCTGTACATTTCTCCAACAGAGCATCACAGAAACTTAGAGCAGCCTAGTGAGCTCCATCTGTAGCTGAGGAAGGAGACAGGCTTTTCCAGGAGAGCTGCAGAGGCAGCTCAGTCATGCAGTTTCTGCAGTAACTTAAAGGGAATCTCTCTCCCTCTATTAACTACATGTGGAGTCCTGGGACTATATGTTCTGTACACTTTGTCTTTCCTGTGGCATTTTGTAGAAATCAGTAAGCTATTGATGTGAGGATCTGAGCCCAGCTGTCCTATTTCTCCAGAGAATAGATTAATTACCAGGATGAATTTCTTTTTCTTCCACACACACTGTCTCAGTGACTATTTTATATACGCTGGAACAGGTCCAGCAGGAGTAATCCCTATCTCCCTTATATTGCTATATACCTTGATGGCTAGAGCACTTCCCAGAGAGGCAAAAATGCCAGTTCAGCTCCATTCTTGTCCAGTTCAGGTAGAGATTTTAGCCCATTTACACTTTATTCAATAAATGCATCATAGGCATTGGTCATAATGCATACTGAAATAGTTGCCTTCAAGTTAATTCTGCACGTGCATTAATTCTTTGTAGAAAACATTTGAATATATCATGCAAAGAGAGTGCAAGAAAAGTTATTTCCCCAGCCTGCTGACTAGAAATTCCCCTGGAACAAGGTTAGCTGAACTATGTCCCTGCACAAGGAAATAGTAACTGTTTAAAATTACCTTTTAATTTAATAACAGTTATTAGAATGGAGTACTTCATGTAAAATGAACATCCCATTCAATATGAAGCGTTATTGCTTGTTTTTCATTTTGGTCAGCAAAATTTGCATTTAGTATTTGGTTTAGATGGTGAGGTCTTCTCCAAAACTGACATTTCTGTGTTTGACAGCCAGACTAAGAAATAAGTTGTTCAGAGATTCTACTATAAGACATGTCATGTTCATACAGTGCAAATTTCATTGAGTTGCCTAGCTCAACACATAGCCGACAAACCCACATTATGAATACATCTTACTTGTATTAGACTGTTAAGCACAGTGCTATCTTCCCTCGGTGTCTGATCTATTTTTATCTCACAGAACCTCCTCTTTTAGTGAACATTGTTCTTTATGTCTTTCTGCACAGATAAAATGTGAATTCCATTAAACACATGACGCCAGAACTCCTGAAATCTCAAGTGCAGCGTTGCTCTCTAAAGAACTGGCTTAGAAATACAGACTGTTGCATTTGAAAAAGTAGGATACTGTGTTCTGTTGAGATCTGATAGCAGGTTTAATGGTGTGTTTACTTTTCTCATCCCAACAGAATCCTTGCTGAAGCCAAAAACCTCTCTTTCAATGCCACCCGTGCTTTCAGTGCTTATACTAACATCAAGGATTACATTGATGAAGCTGAAAGAGTTGCCAAGGAAGCCAAAGCTCTTGCAAATGAAGCTATGCAAGCGGTAAGAAAATAAGTAAATTGTGATGAAGAGTTAGATTTTCTGTGGTACTGTGCTACATCTTATCTCAGATCCATGTCTTGCCATCTTATGTCTTTATGTAAAGGCCCCTGCCACTGTAGATTCTTGTGTTGTGATCAGAAAGCTGTGCCCCTGTCAGAGCTACATGTCCCTTCAGACTGTGTGCCTATTTGTTCCTAACTCACATTCCTTATTTTACTACCCCTTTTTATTTACATTTGTCTTCTTCCTTTTGGCATCTGTGTATGGTTCAAGGCAGCAACTTTCAGTCAGGAGCGTAGTCAGTTTGACACTCAATAAAGCTAGTTTAGATGTGTGCAAAATACTCATTAAATATAAAGAACTCCATAGCTTGATTAACTCTTCAACCCAGTTCCATGAAAATGCTCAGGGGCACTTCTTTGTGCATCAGAAGAACCATGTGTACCTGGCAGAATTCTAGAAATGGAGAATTGTAGGAGGGGAGCAGAAAGCTTTATTCACTTTGTGAACTCTACCAGTTTTTGCAGAGAAATCTAATTCTCACTATGAGGTACTGCATGCAAATTTTCAGAGAAAACAGTGAGAACTTTTAAAAATAGGATTGTAAGGTGAAGCCAGCTCTCGAGCTCGAGTCATAATGAGGATCTCAGCTCCTTGTTGAATATACTGTGAGCAGAAAACATTCTGAGCATAGCCAGAATTATCTTTTATTTCAAATATCAAAGGAGTTGATGGCCTGTCAGAGAGCGACTAACATGCACTTCACAAGCACACAAAAACATGAGGCAATGACAGTATAATGTAGATTGCCAGAGCATATATTTTGATACAGAAACATATAGGTGAACAGAAGCAACTTGTAGTCACTGCACTTGTACATGAATAAAGGTAGCAGAGAGCTACTTAAGTCAAATGGCTTATATGAACAGCAAAAGCAATCACACGCTGTAAAGGTCTATATTGATGAGAGGGATAAAGTGTTCTAGCCACTGCACAAAAATTTTAATATTTTTAGACTCCACATTTTTCGTGTTGCTTCAAATAACACTAATTACTATATTTCACCCTGTGAATAGTTGTTTCATCAGAACACCTGATTAAAAGACAGAAGTAAATAAGGACCTGGATTTTTTAATTTTTTTTTTTTTACTTCTTATTAGGATTTAACACATGCTCTCTTTTGCTCCTTTGATGACTCAGAGTGAAGCAGATGCTTCAAAGATTGAAAAGGAAAAAACAGAGCAGTAAAGAAACAAAGCAAGCAATTATAGTACGGCAACAGAAGTATATATGTCAGATGGCGAACTGGGTGATTACAGCATAAAGAGAAGGTGGATAGGTAGTTTGAAGGTGATAGAGGTCAAGATGGACAATATGATGTAAACAGAGGCAAGTGGGTAGCAAGGAAAAAGACTGAGATAATAAGGTGATGTCTCAAGCGTCTCCATTGCATGTATTCATTACAGGGAGCTTGGTTTTTGTTCTGAGCTGTATCTGTGAAACAAGGATCTAGTTGATGAGGAAGAAAATTGAGGAAGCTGATGCCTTTAAACATAATTGACTTGATAAAGAGTAAAGCTCATGATGGTTTACCATCAAATTGCTGTAGAGTGAGATAGATTTAGCCATTATTTGTTAAATGATCATGTGAGGATTGTGGGACATATTTAAGAAATGGTTTTTGTGAACTTCTATCATCATTTTGCTATTCTATTTTTTTGTTTTTATTTGAATTCTGTTGAATGTTTGCTCATCCTCAGTGAAGAGTTTAACTGGTAGCCAGGTAAATCAGGGTCTGTCTTTCTGGAGGCCTCAATGAACTTCTAGATGAGCTTCAGCACCAGAGCACGAATGTACTCTCACTCAGGGCTGTCTGGAGCAGTCTCCTAGAAGGCAGCATTTGTGGATTTGAGCCCTCCTCAGACTGGTAAGACCCTAGAAACTGTGTCCCCTCCTTTCTGAGAAATGGCTGAGTAGAAGACATCTTTTGAAAGATGGAGCCATGTTCTCTTCTTTATGAGAGCTGTTTTGGATGCCTGACTTCTCTAAAAGACTCTGATCCAGATCATAGAATCATAGAATTTTAGGGGTTAGAATGGACCTTATAGATCATCTAGTCCCAACCCCCCTGCCATGAGAAGGGACATCTCCCACTGGACCAGGTGGCTCAAGGCTTTACAAGAACCTTAATGACATCTCAGGAGTATTTTGGGTTTTGGTTTGTAATGGGAAAATGACTTAGTTTTCAAATTAAGCTAATGTTGCTAAAAGCAAGAATGAAAATATGCTCAAAATCCATCATGATTATAGGAAACCTGATAAATGACTGGAAAAATGTGTTAAAAATATGACAGAAAAATTCCTCCTCATCTTTTTATGTTGGATTTGCTCTCCACTTTAAAAGCAAAATAAATTTATCACAAATGAGAAATCTCTAATATTCAAGCAGCTTCAACATCCCATTACTTAGCGAAGTCATATTAACAGATCTTGCTTGTGTCTCACATATCAGAATTGTTGTTTTAAAGTACATCTTGAAAAAGTGTGATTATTCTTGGGCTTTTTAGACAGGACTTATAGGCTATAACTGAAACCACGGGGAACATGTTAAGTATTTAGGGTCCTACTTCCTTCTTTGCTTTTTACTTTCTTTGTAGTGGTACCCCAGCAGTTATGTTGGCTATCTAGATTTCCTTACGTTGTAATGGCATAAAGCTACCTAGACGTAATTGTGAGGATCCTGAGGTGCAAATCATTCATAACATTTTTGGTACTTCAGCTTTCCCAGCTATCTTCATGACTGAAGAAAATGAGAGTAACCCTAATTCTTGCACAGGTGAAAACTTCACAATATAAATGTATGTGAAAAGAAAATAATTTAAGAATAAGGCAGAACTATTTTTAGCTGGTGTGAATTAGCACTAGGTCTATAAAGCACCTGGTGTAAGTTCTAGTACGTTACCCTCAAAACTGTCCCAGTGCATTTTTACCTCTAAACCGTGATTGAGAGTGCCGTGTGTGGATGCATAATGAGGTCCCACTTCTGCCACAAGATGCTACAGGGGTTCAAGCTACACAGAGTTTACATGGGAAGGGTAGGGGCTTGAAGAAAGGCTTAGGAAGATGAAGTTACTATCCACAGGGTATAGATACTCTGACAGAGGCAGAATCAGAATGAATTATATTCCTGAGATCCTGCAATTTTCAAATTTATTTTGAATCACAATCTTGTTTTCTTTTTCTTTTTTTCTTTTTTTTTTTTTTTATAGTGTGTATCCCAATTTAGAAAATAACATTAAAGACTCTTGGATGTAAGTCCTACTAAATCATAAAGTGGTTCACCATGGCCCAGATTTGCCGTAAGCACACAAACTCACCTCACACAGGGCCATAAAAAGTTTGCTTTTTTAATTATTGACTTCTTCATAACTTGAAGTCTCATGAGCCACAAGAAAAACTGCTAAAAATGTGTATTTTCCATCAGATGTCTTGATTAATCCTCACTCTCAGAATTATTAAAAAAATATACAAAATAAAGCTTTTAATCAGTACAAGTGTATTTGTCTCTGAAAGGGCTTTTTTAGTATTAGCTTTATGCTGAAATCTGTTTCTGACTAATTGTCAGTACACACCCGATTATTGTCCCTGATTTGATGAACTTCTTGGTTTTGCATTGTAAATCTGTTCTTCTGACTTCATTTTATTGACTATAAACTGCTTCAACAGCCAATCAACCATGCTTAGTCATGTAGTAATAACAACAGTCTTTTTTTTTTTAAGTCTGTGATCACAGAGTGGTCATACCCTGGGTCCTGTTGCTAACAGGAAAAGAAATATAAAAATATCTGATTTGACAGGTACATCTGCCACAAAATCTGGCCAAACATTTTTCCTTCATGATGAGTCTTGCTTAATTGGATAGGTTTTTGGTTTGGTTTGGTTTCTTTTTTTTGGGGTTTTATCTATTTTTCTCTTACCAGTGCTCCTTGTTATTATGTGGAGAAGAAAATCTATAAGAAACTAATTTTGTTCATCTTTTGAGTGTCTATGTTTCTGTTGATGTTGAAAGCAATTTGTGTACACATCTTAACATTTCAGGTGAGTTTGGAAAATGGCAGTCACATGGGCCTTAGCTCTTAAAAGCACATAAAAGCATACATTTACATCCCAGATGAATACAAGGAATCTTTAATAGCTATATCCCCATGCCACGGCAACATATACTATCAGATGTCCCATTAAAAAAACTTGGTTCTGAATTTTGAATGTATCCATCCTCTAAGATCTTCAAAAGAAATTGAAATGGCAAGTTTAATATATGTTTTTTACAGTGTCATTGAAAACCAGCAGAGATTCAGTAGTTTGTGAAATGTCACCTCTGGGCTTGCTCATTATATAAATAATGAATAGCAATAATAATTGTGTCATTTAATTGACACACAGTTAATTTTTGAGTATATGTATCTGCCCTGGAAAATGAAAAGTAGCTGCTTCTTAATTACATACTAGTTACAAGGCTATGACCCATGACTAATATAGAATGTTATCTGGCTGTCAGGAGTATTCTGAAAGAAATATATTCGGTATGATGTGTGACCTGAGTTCAGTCTTACAAACTGAACAGTAAGTGGTTCAGAACCTAGAGCATTTCCTACCAGCTGAAAACACTAATCTAATTTAGAAAAATCATTCCATCTATTGATCAGTCTCTGCACTGAAGGTAGAGATGGATGTTTCTTCAAATGGAAGATCTTTAAGTTTCACGATATGACGAAGGATGGTTACTTAGTAATAAAACTCTTTCATATTAGCGGCAGTTTGCCCTTCTTTTAAAACTCTATTTCTTATTTCATTACTGATGTAGCAATTCTAATTTCTTAACCACAAATGAATCTCTGTTGGCAGTATTAGAATCATCAGATCAGTCTGGCTTCTAGAGGTGCTGTAGCTGCAGCTAGGGAGAAATACTGTATTGCATGGTGTTCTGAAAGGATAAATACATATTTAATACATGTTGTGCTGGCAGGATAAATACATATTTAAGTTGAAATAGGTTTTGTTGGTTTGTTTGGGACAAAGTTTTGCTCTTAGAGTCAAACCTGTTTCTTTTAAGCTATAAACACTGTTTCTTTTTATTAAAGTCATTACTGATATTCCAAAGGGGATCTGGCTTCTTGTAACCAAAAAAAGAAAGCAAAAACCCAACCAAACAAAAAAGAAATTAGAGAATCTTTATTTTGGTTTTTGTCTCTTGTAGACCAATATAATGACAATAGGATGTAATTCAGAGCACACTGATTTACACTTAAAATTTAGATGTCTGTTCACTTAGATGTCTTGATGACATATGTCTTCTATGAATTCAGATTTTCCTGCATATTTGACACTGATTGTTTGTCTACAGACATCTGGACCTCAAGGTTCACTGAAGGATGGTGCCAGGAGTTCTCTTCAGAAAAGCTTCAGAGTCCTTAATGAAGCCAAGATGTTAGAAAATGATGCTAAAGGTACGTGCAGTAAATGGCCTTCAGCCCCATTAAATAGAAAAAAAACCACATTGTGAGCCTGCTATGCTTCCAACATGAGGAAGCCATATCAGTAGGAAAAAAAGTGTAATTCATTATCTGATTTTAAATTGAACAATGTATCACTGAAAAAGGTTCTGGTTTGTGTCTATGCATTATGCAGAGATGCTTGTCCCTTGTCCATCTCTTGGACAGGAAGGTTGAGGAGGATGGAGACTTGGTTTTCCCTTGCTAACTGCAGTAAGGGCAAGAGTAAGTGGGAAAAAGAGAGGGATGGAAATACTGCTTCTGATTTGCTCTAGCAGATAATTAGTACGAAAATGAACCCAGTATTAAATTTTTTTTCTTGTCAATACAAAGCAGGGTTTTCAATGCTAGTCAGAGATACCACTTCTCTTGAGCATGTCTATGTGGTTGTGCCAGAAAAGAGAAGCATAAGGAGGTAATATGAGACTGTTTACCAAACAGAGTAATATGAAAGAATTGCTAAGCATTTTCTTGAAAGAAAAAAAAAAGAAACTAAAAACATGTCTCTAGAGAAAAACATTCACACACACTAAAATATTTCTTTGTTCCTAAAGCATCAATACATGTCTAAATGCAGACTAAATCATAAGATTTTTAGATTCCAAACCAAGTACTTAGCTGAAAAATAGAACATCTTTATCTTCAATATTTTCCACTGGGGGGGGGGGAAATAAGGTTTTGAACCATAATGTTTGGTGGGATGGTAAAAGCTAGTAATGGACTGTGCATATGCCCTTAATAATTTCTCAGCAATAAATGAGAGTGTTACAGGTGAATGTCATAGTGTGAGAAGGTTGGACAGTAGTCAATATGGACACATATGAGGTGTTACATGCCTACATGAATAATCAGCTGCAGAAATGCACAATGGTGAGCAATTGTTTATGTAGCACTTCTCCAGAATAAGACTAAAGAGAAGCATGGATCATGTGTTGGGTAGAGGTGGAAAAGATCGATGTCACAGAGGAATGCATGAACAGGTGCACACTTTTCAAAACACAGGAAACAGTCCTTCCACTCTGTTCAGGGTTTCTAGTGCTTAAATTGAGTTACTGGTTACAGTCTTGGGCATTGAAGTACCTGAGGGCTGAGGTGGTTTGCAGAGTCCTGAAGACACCATGAAGGCTAAGTAGTGATCTAGCAGAGCAGAGATGAGGAGAAAGATTGAAATAATGTAGATTTATAGACTGAAAGAAAAATAGTAGAGGAGATTTAGTATTTTTCATTATGTCATCACTTCTCCAAAGAAGATGGGATTAACATATCTCAAATGCACTAATACAGATCACGTATTAGGAAAATCTTCATTGTAATTAAAATCCAGAAGTACTGGAATTGATTACTGAGAAGATTAGGGAGATACGACCTTTAAAAATCTTTGAAAACAGTTTAGATGAATATCAGTGAGGAATGTCTGTTGGTCAGAAGAAGAAAAATAGGCTTTGGACAAGCATTTGTTCAGAGTTTATGATTCATTGATCTTTTGATCATTGCAACCAAAAGCAGTTTATATTTTGCATCTTTATCCAGACAGATTGTTTCATAGGTCGCCTAAGAAAGTATTTATTGCAGCACTAATGAACATCTGTTTAACAGTACTCAATGCTTCTTTCTCCACATCACTCTTAGGAAGGAATTGAAAAAATAATTCCTTTTGACAAAACCAGAGGGGAAATAAGTATGATACAATCATCCAGTTTCAAGTAGGCCAACACTGAGTTTCACACCTCTGCCTTTGTGAAAAATGTTACGTGTTACTGCTTTAATTAATTTGGTTTTACATATAACAAAGAAAACAATTTAGAAGCATACAGTGTTTGTGCCACTGGTATAGTAAAGTGTGAGAGAAGGATCTGTTAACTGAGTCCTCTGTACAACTCACTGAAAGTCTTTCATCTGTATACTGAGTCCAGGCAGAATAAGTTCAAGTTGATAATTTTGTGGTTGCTTTCAAGTTAATGCACTGTAACCCCTCCCTTTAGTAACTTGAAATTTTGCCATGTATATTTTGAGAAGTTTATGTCCAGTCACTGTAGTTTTTGAAAAATTCTGTCATACTAGATTCATTACAGTTCAATCTGATTCAATTGGCTGAAGCTATAATAAGGTTGACCTGGAATTAAGGATGGAAAAAGCATAGTACTTGAAAACCTGTGGGAGCAAACAGATTTAGGAGTTAGAAGAAATAAAGATGTGGGAAAAATATAGCTATGATATAGTCTTTTTTGCTCATCACAGGGGTCTGCAAATTAAGCTGGGTATTTTGTGAAGTTTTTTTCGTGCATCAGAACTAGAAAAATCACACACAGTAAATATTTTAGGTTGAGTTTTAAACTTGTCAGAGAGACGGTGCCTGTCGTGCTAGCATAGTTGAAGCACTTTTTATTAGAAACGAGACAAATTTTTATAACAGAGCCTGTCTTTCAGGTTTTTATGTACAAAATTTTCTTTGGCCTCTTGGGAGATATGTTAAGGCAAGCATACAGCATAAGGGATGAGATCCATACAGCTTAGAGTCATCTTTGGGAAATTACTACACATTCATTTAGTTTTGGCAGCTCTAGGATTTCCAACTTCAGAACTAGCTAACAAGAAAACATAATGTTTAATAAGGTCATAAAGTATAATGTTTCATAAGGTCATTAATTGCATTTCACTGTCATATGCTGAAAGTGAAAAACAGTACTATTTTCTTGTAGCAGCTCTGAGAAGAAAAAAATGTGTCTGAGTCAATAGTAAATCTTGGATGTATATTTAGGGTGTTCTTTATTGTGACTCACTACTGCCAGATTCAGTACAGATTTAGGGATGGAGGAGTGTATTTCAGGAAATATCTTACAGAAACACACAAAACTCTGAGGGGAGGCCAGTGTACAATTTCAGTAGCATGGCTGAAGTACAACAAATAGAGGTGCTTTCTGGAATACAAACTGCTGCAGTTTGCCATGGCTGGTGTATAGGAAACATTAAAATGCCTGCACTGCCACAGCATTCCTCTGAGCATGCTGGACACCTCAGAGTGGAGCCCATAACTCTGTGTGCTCCCCTTGTATTCCACATAGTGCAGTGTCCTGTCTTCAAGGACAAAATAAAATAGTGTCTGTACTTGGATGTATGTGAATTCCATGTGTCCACAAGACCATTCAATTTAACCCTGAGACTAGATATACTGCAACCTCAGTAAGACATTGCTTCAGAAAATTTTGGAAAAAAAAGCTTGTAATTCTCCCATTGTACCAGTGAGAATTTGATAAGTTTCATAATTCAGAAGCAGAGATCTAAACAGTCTAAAGATTCATAAAGCAAACCTAATGCAAGCAGGTAGCAGTGCTTAAAATGCAAGTATTAGATCTTTGTCTATGTTCTTGCCCCAAACTGAAGGGTAATGAGATGGAACTTTCTTAATAGTCTCTGATATGCCTTAGATTTAAAGTGCTTCATAAAGACAAACATTCTGAACTTGAACAGTATGCCTTTTTGCATCTAATAAAACATGGCCATGCTCCACAGCTTGACCCGTGGAGATCAGTTAATGTTGTGCCCAGAATGCAGATGCGTAAGAATAAAATGCAGTGACAGATTTCTATTCCCCACCCTGCTTTTTTTACCAAGGTGGTGATGTTATTATTATTGCAAATAACATAGAACATATGTTATTATTATGAACATAATCCCTTATGTATGTCTTGATGTTCCCAAAATAGAAAGTGAGAGTTTAGTGTCAAACTAATAGAAAGATATTTTCTTAGAATTGTTATAAAGCCATCCTGTTCAGAGTCTCAGCTGGAAGTACAAGATGGCTAATGGGCACTCTATAAAGATCTGGTAGACAGAAGTAATCACTAGCTTAAAATTTCTCTGTCTGCACTACAGGTAGTACATTAGTTCAAGTAATGAAGACCCATAAGCCACTCAGCTAATATACACCCTAAAAATCCAGGCTGGGCTGTGATAGAGGTGGGAGTGTTTTCTTCCTACATTATGACATTCCCCTGATTTGTGGCCAATTACCTGAGTTATAAAATGGCTGTTAATCATGAAAATGTTTTATATTACCCTCAAAGACTGCTGAAACAGTCCTTACAAAGCAAAGCTTCTGACAGAAGCTATTAAAAGGAGATGTAGTAATTTCTCTCTCTGTGGGGCTAGGAGGTAGAAAGAATAACACTGGTGGAGGAAGCAAAATTGCTATGTAGTACTCTGGCTAAGAAGGAGTTTTGAAATTTTGGCTACAAGTGAGTAAATGCTGCTGCCTGCTAGCTTCATTCTCTCTGTGCCTTGAGGGATTTTGCAGTTTGCCAGGAGCAATTTTTCTTCCTTATAATTTTTAATTTACTGTTTTAAAAATATACTTACCCCAGTGCAGATTTGAGACTGTATACAGACTTTGTCAAAACTGATCAATGAAAAGTGAAAATAAGATGTATAAACTCCTCTTCAGCTGGAGACTGCTGTCAGGTGGCTACTGAAATTCTGCTCATGTCATTTCTTTTGCTTAAGAATTGACAACTTGAGGGGAACTTGTCTTGTCTGACATGTGAATATTTTTAGCTAAAGCATTTTCCAGCTGATAGGCACAGCTAGATTCCTTGTTTGTATGTTCTCTTCTGCTTTGTATTTCTGATGACCTGGCATTTCGCATTTACCAGAATATTGCAGTCAGTGCTGAAAGTAGTCTTTTAAAAAAGTTAAACATTATTAGTTGCATTTCTCTAGATATATGTCTTTCCCCTCTTTGTGTCTAACACAGGTTTATAAATCTTGCTTGGTTTAGGGAAAAAATTTAGCTTGTGACCCATCTTCCTCTTTATGGGATGAAACTGTGGGGAGCAAGAATGCTATTTTGCAGAAACAATGCAAAGACAACAGGAAGGAGTGTGTATAATAGCCAGCTTATTTGTGCAGTTTCCAGTCCATAAAAGCAGCTGTTGCTCCTTGATAGATTTCTACCTTTATTCTGATTTTGGGGTACATGCATTCAGTAGCATAGTCTTCTTGGACAGTTTCACAGGGAAAAACTCCATTTGGTCGTACAGTTAGAAGACATGTGTTTCTACTACCATTGCAGTGGTGCCACAGCATCAGTAATTAACCAGTGCCACCTATATCTGTGATCTGCAGAGACTTGTAAAAACTTGTAAAAGTAGATCAATACACATAAATGGTAAGTAACTAAATTATTAAGTTCGTCTTAAGGCAAAACATATGTGTGCAGGTATTTTTTTTTCATTTGGCTGACTTCAATTTATTCACTTAGAGGAAAAAGGGGTGATGCTTTATTCTGTAATGCTCTGTTTAATATAAACAGGAATTCAAAATCTTGGTTCATGTAAACCAAGCCAGAAAACCTAAAGGTCCATACCTACAAAGTCCTTCAGGTTCCTACTTACTGTTTAGGGTTTAGTTTCAGCAATGTGTGACTAGTTCTGTTGATTTGAACATTAAACAGTGCATTTGTTGGCATCCTATGCCATCTTTCTGCAGAGCTAATCAAGTGGAAACTGGATTGAGATAAATTTCTCAGGATGCTGCTCAACCTACACTTTGATGTGAATTGACAGTGCCTGGCATGTTTCAGTGCAGACCTACTTACCTCTTCAAGTCAGATTATCTCTGTAGTTTGAAAAAACTTAGACTAGAGCTGCCTGTATTTTGACTAGCCTCTGTGCTTAACTGGAGGATCTCAGTCCTTCAGATCATAGCTCCAGCAGCTTTCATAAATGCTAATAATTAAAGGATGGGGAAAAGCTGATGTGAAGATGGTTTGGTTTGTGATTCTTATAGAAAATTAGCTCTGTGCTTTGTGAAGAGGCCATCTGGATTACAGTAGGAGAAATTACTTCAAAATATAACTTCATCTTAATATCACTGTACAAAATGAACAATTTCCTTGAAAAGCTGACACAGAACATAGTAGCTCCTCACTTCTCTTTGTGTAAGAGCCTCCCTCGGTACACTTATTTATGGCTTTATTATTGCAGTTTAAAAAAAAAACCAACCCACAGTTAAAATGTAATTGAGGAATTAAAAGAAAAAAAAATATTAAAAAGATAAAATCTCAATATTCAATTTCAGGAGTTCTAGGGAAACTTCCCTTATTAAATTCCGTAAAAAACAGTTTGCTGCTATGGTTACAAAGCTGAAAACAGAAGTCTGGAAACATGATTCCTCAGAAATATAACTGGGGAATAATTAGCATAATGTTGGATCTGGCAGAGTAAAGAGGAGAAAAAGAGATAATTTAAAAGTATGCTACAAAGTTAGAGCACCAGCATTGTAAATGAATCAAACCTCTCAGAAATATTAACACACTTTATAAACACTAACATCCCTCCAGAGACACCAAGGAAATATTGGTAGGACCATAATTTCAGAATTAAATGGAGGAAATTAAAACAGTTTTGTCAGTATTATTACTTAACATGAAATGAGCTCAGACAAAATCTCAGGGCATGCAAGACCATAATCTCATGAGTTCATCCTAGTTTAACATCATGTAGCCTCATTCAGCAGTGAGGACAGAACCTGTAATTCAAAAATAAAGGTGTTTTTGAGGAGATGAATGATCTTATAATTTATGTGATTCTTCCCAACTTTAGTCTAGTGTTAACTTTGCCACTTACATTTCACACAAACGTCCTGTTCCTCTGCAGGACATTTTGTGGGAATGAAGACTTACCTGCAGGCACTCCTGCAGTTCTGCATGTTGCTTTAGTTTAAATAAAGCAGATTTCTTCCTGAATGACATTTCAAAGGATCTAACAACAAAAGTATAGTTCTCATTTAAATTCCATGTGTTATTTCAGCCTTGCTATAGCCTTGGAAAAATTAATTAATGTTTTCTTGTAGGTAATATAAATTTTGATTGATTTTTTTTTTCTCCTTACAAATTGCTTCTTGCACATCTAGTTTTAAGAAACCATACTTTTTAGAATTTGTGGAATGTGAACCACAGTCCCTCATTTTATTCTGTCATTCTGGGTTTTTCTGTCACAAAAGGGTTACAGTCCTGATGATGTTGATGGGGCTGGACTATCAATGATACATCTAATTATTGTCCCTTAATAAAAAGGGATGCTTTTTATTTTGACAAGTGTATGCCTATAATTCACCAACATACCTCCTCTCTGATATATTTTCATATCCCACTAACTGTTTGGATAACTATGCGAAAACTAGGTGATTTTTTCAATAGCCTGTCACATATGTGAAGGTCAGTCATAGTTTGTATCCTGAGCTCCTTGTCTACAAATTATTCTCCTCTTCCTGCTATCAAGCTCAGTGATGTTGAATTAGTTTCCCAGTAGGACATGCCTTTAAGGTAAGAAATTACCAGCTGTCTGTTCTAAGGAGTTTCATATTGATGCGAAGAAATGATGAAAAGCCCCCTGAGACAGTAGTTTAAGTATTAACTACCATTTTTTTGTGCCAAACTTTAGTTCTAAATTTTGGAATAATGGCTGTTTAAATCGCCATAAAGCTTAGCTGGAATCTCATTTTTGAGAGTTTGAAAAATTATTGCTATGCTGGATACCTTTCAAAAAAAAAAAAACTCTGTAATTTTCTTCAAAGGAACTGTTGAAGAATAGGAGCTTACTTGTAAAGGATAACATCAGTTTCAACCATAATGCTCCAAATTTATGACACACCTGTGCCTTTGATTTGTATTAGTTCTTTACTTTGAACAAATTCTTAGGTTTTAATTTTATTTTCTAGGCAGGTGTTTTCAAAAAACAAATTTAGTATGTTTATTTCATAATAACCTGTTGTCCATGTATTCTCCTCATAGTGAAGCTCACTGCCAGAGTGATCTTGTTTTTTCTTCAGATGTTATGTCAGCATTGGTTAACTTTGAGAAAATCCAAGTGAACTCTGTCCAGTCTAATCGCAAAAGCAACTCATTCAACTGAGACAATCACCTTAAGAAGAAAGGTAGTAGCTTCACCTAGGAATCTATGGCTAACATCACAACTGTAGAATGTCAGTGGGTCATTGTGTGAATTTGCCTAATCATAACATCTGTGGCTGTAGTTCTTTCTTTCCTCAGTACACCTCAGGAAAACCCTTGATAAATATACAATTGTGCAAGGAGCACAAGTATTTAGACACTGTGAAAGTAGGGAACTTAAAGAAACAGGAGAAGATGATCAGTGAACATTACAACAAGTTCTACTGGACTTGTTTACACAATAAAATACCGTAATGAAAAGTGGCTCACTCGTTATTATGCATTTTTAGTTATGTGCAAAGAAAGGATAGTGGAAGCAAAGAGTTAAAGGTTCTGTATTATATGCACTTTTTATAGAAAAGGGGGATCATCTGGACAGCATGCAGAACAGGCTGGAAGATGCTGATGAGAAGAATTCCATTCTCCTGGGAGCTTTGAATGAAACTTTAGGAAAGCTGTCAGCCATTCCTAACGGTAAGCTGAAAAGTGCTGTAACCCTTCACTCCTCCCTGCTCTTTTGTTTCTTTTTGCATCACTTAACACATGTCTGTGTCCATGCTGTGTCCACTTTGACCATTGGGTGTTGTTGTAAGATTAATATGAACAATGTGAGAGAGAAAACTTGAACTGAAAACAATTATATGGTATCAGTTTCCAGTTTGGCATGGTGAAAGGTACCATGCTTCTGCAGTTGGCAGAAGGTTTCTGAAAGACAATAATTATGATATCAGAAATCATGATATATTCTGAGACAAATAGTCTTTTGTTAGAACATGAAAAGTATTTGTATGAAACTATTCTTTAATGAACCGTTATAATTTAACCAGTGTAAATTAACTGAAGAAGAATAAAGGCTTACTGACTTTACAGAAGAAAGCAGAGTGAAATTTGCTGGGTTTTGTCTTACCTTTCTACCACACTCTCAACATTTCCAGTCACTGTTGGTGTTGTATATCTTTTTTTAGACTGTAAGTTGCTTAGAACTGGAACAGGTTTTTCTCAATGGACTCTGAAGTGTTATGCACAATTGTCATTATATAAAGACTTTTTTTTTTAATGTAAAAACTCTCTCAAAAAAAATTCACATTAAAATCCCAAAGTCCTAGGATGGACTACTTAGCCATGTGATAGCAAGAGACAGGGAGCTACAACATAGTATCACTGTAATGGGCAGTAAATGATAAAATGAATGTTATAGAAAATTAAAAGTTTTTAAGCAATGTATTCTGCTATGACTTTTGTCTCCAAGGAGCACTTTATAAACTGAAGTTATGCCATAAGAAAAGTCTCTAAAGAAAATCTGTACTCTGATTTCTGATGGTCTGGAAGGTTCAGACTGAAAGTAAAACCTTGATGTGAAAAATGGTTTACTATTCATCTTGGACATTTTTGTGGCTTTAAGATTCCAATTAACTTAAAAGTTTTGGTTTAGATTTAGTAATTCTTGAAATCAGACATTTACATAAAAAAGTGGTTAATATGCCATGCTCATTACATACCATTTCTTGGATTTTGGTCACAGGTATTGACACAACTCTTTGTCTTCCTGTGCACAGATAGATATCTCAGTCAAACAAAATGGATCTCTAAGGCCTGTTAACCTTAGGACATGGAATACTAAATATGGAACAACTAAAAGAAACATGAAATATGCAATCATTAGCAATGTAATAAACTCTTGGCAGATTAGAGTTACAGAGTGCTTTCTCTTGGGACAAGGACACTCATAAAAACAAGTGGATATGTATTAAGAATGAAATTCAGAGCAAATAAATGGCATGAATAAGAAAATGCCATAAATTAGTTGTCCAACAAGAAAGTAATCAATGAGGAAGGGAGAGGAAATGACCCTGTCATACATCTTGTTCTTCAATGATTCAAGAAAGCAGAGAACAGCTTAAACTAATAATTCTTGTGTCCTTGCTATACTAATAATCAAATAAAAGCAGAAAAATTCAGAATGAGATAAACAGGTAGATCACCCTAGGACAAGGACCCGCATGTGCAGGGATGGCATAATTTAAAGTGTGGGTAAAAATAATTTGCATGGCAAATAGAAGGAAGTAACACAGTAACTCCAGCTTTCACTCTGCCAGAATGGTGCATGACCTCTAATGACGACCCAAAAAGAATTGCTTGGATATAATGAATAAAGGAAGTCAAGGCAATCAGAGCTCTCTTTTCTTTCCCTTGTCAGAACTGGCAGTTATAATGGTTTATTAAAGGTTAGCTGTATTTCTGAGGTGCTATTTTATTTGGGGGGCTTTTCAGATCCAAAACGTCAGAAATAAGGGTGGAGCCGTTTGAAGCATGGGTATAATATATCTTAACTCAAGAAAGTAATAAGGGTCATGTAACTCTTCAGCATGAAGGACAAATCCACCAACTCTCTGTAGCATTGGAAACCAGTACATGCTCCCCAGGCCATGGGCTTGATCACATAAGATGTTCCACAGAAGGAGAAGGACCTGCCTAGGAGACCCCATGACTCCCTTGTGGTGTGGGGACAAGGGTGGGAGTTCACATTGGTTTCCTTGCAAGCTGGAATGTCCACCACAGCATTTTCTGCTTGCTCACTTCCTCCCATCTGTGAGAATTTAGAAAATTTAGCAGCTCCCTAGTCCAGCACAACCTGTGATGCTGGCTCAGGATGTGCAGTAATCCCAGCATGGCAACAGCACCTAAGCTCTGTGATAAATTTTAAAGCAATCCGATTTACACAGAACCTGAATAAATACCAACATGAGTATCTAGCTGTCTGTTTAGCATTTATCAATGGCAGAATCAAAACCATTCCAGACTTGAATGTTTTCACTCCAAAGACAGAATGTTCATTTCCATTTTACAGGCAGAGAGGTGGGACAGTATTAGACTAATTGCTTTGCTCCATGTCACCAGTGATGTCTATGGATGTACGTGATTAACTCAGTCAATGGACTCTTCATCTCCTGATTCACAAGAATGTTTTTCACAATTTCATCTGAAACACATGGAGCCCGATTTCTGTACTCTGCATATCAGAACATTGAAAGTCCTATTTCTAAGTATCAAATATTGTATCTGGCACGTGATCAGAGGTTGACCAATGGGTCAGCAGCAGCAACAACAAAATTGCACACAAATTTACCTGCTAAAAATTGTTTGTCCTTTACATACAAATGGATCTGGTGCATTTTCTCTTCTTGATATGTATTTAATGTCTCAAAAAATACCTAAAGGGCCAGATTCTGCAGTCAAAACTTGCAACTAATGTCTAACTACATGTGAAGTAGGACGTCTCAAAGAACAACACAACACAATTTAAGATGATATAACTTTAACCTAACCCTATTCTAAAGATATGTGAAAGAAACCTCTGTACTCTGGGCAATCCTTTCATTATCCTTTTCTTCGTACAGATACAGCTATAAAGGTACAGGCAGCCAAAGACAAAGCAAGACAAGCCAATGATACTGCAAATGACGTCCTGGCCCAGATTAAAGACCTCAATCGGAATCTCCTGGGGTTGAGAAACAACTACAGCAAACTTGAAGATAATCTGGCCAAAACAAATGCAATTGTGAAGGATCCTATTGAGAACAGTAAGAACTTTATTGGTTGTTTGGTGGTGGTTTTTTCAGTTTGTGGTTTTCATTTCATATGTCAAAATGAAACAGAGATACTATAGAATTTCACTCACGTAGCAATACCACAGTATGCTGGGACGAAAGGAATCTATCACTTCTATTTTCTGGAGTTTTTACATATATGAAAAAGAAGTAGAGTTCCTTTCCAACCCTAACAATTCTGTGAAAAGAATTTTAAATCTTAAGGACTAATGCTAGTAGTTGGAAGTAAAGCTACTGTCAGCAGGGTGAACATGTAATAGATTTGTTCCATAGACTATTTTTTAAAGTATTTAGGAGATGAATAATCAAAGATTCTGACTGGCAATTCACCACCTGATTCAAGCAAAATACCCCACACTAAACCTGCCTTCAGTCAACCAGATAATCAGTCCTGGGAGAAATGTATGACTTCTTTCATGTATGTTACTATTTTTGGTAGAACACTGAAGACACTTCAGAATAAAGAAAGAAAGTAGATTCTGGGAGTGGATTCTGTTATCCAGTGTGACAATTGCTTTAGCATTTTCACTTTGGTTATGACGGATAAAAATTAATTCTAAATTGCAACACATTTTTTGTTTGATTACAAGGCCATATCATATAGGTATATACAGCCAAGGCTGGCCACAAAACCAGACAAAATTACTGAAGTCTAATTTCTCAGCTACCCTGTGCTCCCTAGGTTGTTGTCAGCTTGATGAAGCTGGACACCTAAAAACATGCCATTTAGGAGATTGTCATTCTTATTCTATGGACGGATATCCTCTTGCAATTGTTGCTGTACTAGTAAAAGAAGTTAATCCCAATGGCAGTTTGTCACTGCCTGCCTATTGCACATTCCCAGTTCCCTATCAGCTGAGATACATGTGTGAACCCCAGTACAATTCCCACTGGGCAGACTGATCCATGCAAATTTAGACAATATGAAGTTATTGATTGAAATGGTGTGGTTAGATTACCATGGGTTATGGAACAAGGAGATCTGTAAAACAATGACCTCTTGCAGGATAGTGAGATACAACTGAGAAATGGCCTTAAAGCAATAATTTCTTGGCACTGCTGGATCTAGGCCATCTGTCCCAGCCTGAGTATTTTAAACCTGTGTGCATATTAACATTTTAGTTGAGATTAGGAAGGATAATTTCAAAATAAATCTCTTGATTGTCCCCGGTCACCATTATTTCCATTGCATTGAAAAGTGGTTTTAACACTTGCAAACTCTTTCATGTGAGATTAAGCTTAACTGGAAGGTGTACTCCAGAAGTAAATTTCTACCCTTCTTCAAATGTTAATGGACACTCAGATTACAGAATGAGATATAATAGATATATAAAGTAAGTATGTTTGCACTCATGACTACATGCTAAAGTAGACATAGCCTCTCTTGTATGTCAGAATTCAGGCCCTGAATTCTTATTTTGTAGATAAAAGGTTAAAAGTTTTTATAGACTCATCCTATCCCTTATTTTACTTTACATTTCTGTTTAGATCTTCAAAACACTCTCTTACATTATCTTCTGTTTTTTCTCTTTTCTTTGTCTCCATATCTTGCCTGCAGAAATCTGTACGTACATTTTTCTTACAGCTTTTAGTGTGCATTTTCCAGTAAACAATGATTTACTGCTTACCACCAAAGCTTCTGCATGGTGCTCTTTGTTTCACATTCATTGAAATAGCTAAATAGTTGCTTCTAGAAAACTTTGAGATAAAGCAACTTGATAGCTAGTTTAACTTATGTGAAACTTAACGAAGCATCTTGAAGGTTTGGTATGAGTGTTTGGGTGACTATTAAAAAAACTAGATATGCAGATTTTCATGATTTATGTAAGCATTATTTTTATTACTGTTGCTATTTTTTTCACGGAATACGCATATTTCTAGTAAATACATGTTTGTCCCTTTCAGTGTCATCCACACAATCCCTTACCCTCATGCTAGTCAAGTGTTGCAATCCTTAGATCTGCTTATGAATTGTCAAAGAGAGGGCATTATTCACTAGTTGTATGTTGAGAGACAAAAAAAGTCATTTGAAGCTTAAAGAAGAAGAGGGGGACAAAATATACTTGTAAAATTATTAAGCTTATCTGAAAAAAAATAGATAAAAATAACATTTGCAATTTGCTGCCACTATTTTTAAATCTGATTTCCGTACTCATACAGAATTTTAAGCTTGTGACCAGAATAAAGCCTTTTTCTGTTTGTGCCCATTATAGTTCAAGAATTAATTTCAAGTTAATTCTAACCCTGTTTCAGAAATTACTAATGGAAACTAACCAGTTTTCATTAATCTAGCATTTTTATTTTAAATTGGAGGGTTTTAAAAAAAATAAAAAAGGAAGCAAATATTTCATTTATACATGTATTTTGCTACAGGAATTATTTTCCATTAGTATCATCCTGACCGGAAACATAGTTACATCTTCAAAATCCTGCTTTAACATCTGTGTTTGCTGCTATTACTGCTTTAACTTGATTCTAAATATTCTGATATTATCTTATTCTGTTCAGGTAGCTTCCTGGTCTTTGTGTGCCTCATAGTAGCATATACAGTCACCTGAGCATTGTGTATGCAGAGTTTTCTTGGATGTTATTATTGCAGTGTATAATTAGTCTCTGACACTATTATCTAAAACTCTGCCTTGTTCTTTCTTATGAAGTTGCTGATGCAGATTCCAGTATTAAAACCCTAGAAAAGGAAGCAGATCGCCTGTTAGATAAAATCAAGCCAATCAAAGAATTTCAGGATAACTTAGGGAAAAACATTTCTCAGATAAAAGAGCTAATAAACCAAGCTCGGAAGCAAGCCAATTCGGTAAGTCCTGTTTCTCAGTAAAATGATCTTGTGGGTGTTGATGGGGTTTTATTTTCTACTTTTTTATTTCTTTCCCACAGGGTGAATCCTTCCTAATTCTAAACATGTGTAAAGAGAGCAAATAATGGAGTATAATTTCTCAGCTAAAAGAGAATATTCTGATGATTTTCACTCTGTGTCTTGTCTCTTCATTTAAGACATGTGCTTGTTACATGAATAACATCTGTAGGAATATACCTGGAATGGTTATTTTTTCAGAAGTATTGTAGATCATAGTGTAGCAGAAGACTCACAGCATCATTGATTTTTTTGAAAACGAAAATGTATTTTCTTGCCTCAGCACTGATATTAAGCCCCTGGTTTCATTTCATAGAACTTAAATTACCCAAGAACGACACCATCTCACACTCACTGAAATTGCTGAGTATATTTGCTTTTTCCCATATTCTTGATTTTCCTTTGTCCACTAGCAGTGCTGAGGACTTGAGTTAAGAATATATTTCTAGTCCATTTAGTGAGTTTGGAGTCCATCTCCCTGACTTAGTAATGCTATCAACTTGAGGATCAGCTGGTTAATACTGAGGTTATTCAGCTTGTGACCTAAATAGCAGAGGAGAAAAATCTTGAAGATGGTACTTAAGAAATCTTCCTCAAAAATGGTTGAAAACTGGTTGAAAAAAATAATCTACAGAATAATAGGATACTGGCAAAGAAGTGTGTTCCATGTACTTGATGCAATTTGCACAGAATAGAAAGGCTACAGTAATTATATGGTTTTGTTATATTCATCTTCTGTCTGAAGACTTTGAAGTGCTTAACTGCTCAGCATTTCTGAGATAGGGAAATTGTGAGTTTGGTACTATAATCATTCTCCTTTTTAACAAAGTTTGCCCTAAGCATAAGGTGACACCATTATGTACATTTCCTGTAATGCATAAACATGTCTAGCTGGGATTGAAATACCATTGTACAGTCATTATGTCTATGCTGGCATTATGAAAGTGAACAGTAAACTGTTTTTATCTGTGCTCGGAGCCTGAGGAAACTAGCACATGTATCCAAATGCATATGTCACTCAGCTGTGAAAATAAATCTTAGTTATGAATGCCAACTCCCATTAGGGGCTATGTAAAATCAGTGATAGACACAACTGTTGGTTTAAAAATAATTGTGAAAAGGTGTTTTAAACTGGCATAATTTAAGATCTTACAAGGGGAAAAATAGATCATTTCAACTACCTGATAGCAATATGCTGTGATTCCTTCAGAAGTGCTGCTTATTTTCCTGGCTGCATATTCTCCTTATAGACTGCTAGAATTCCACCGCTACTTGCATTAGGCCAGTATATCTTCCAGCTATTTTTAATCTATACAGTTCATCCTTTCAAATATGAATGCCAGAAAGAGCTTTTATTTCCTTCTAATAAACAATCCCAGAAAAAAATATTCCATTTCTATCTCCTTTGCATATCCCAGCAATTCCCTGGTACACATAACAAAAAAATGTGAAGAAAAAAGTATAATATTCGTATAATTATTTGCAAACATCTATGGTTGATTCTGAAATAATAAGCAGTAAACTGAATTCTTTCTGCTATGCTTTTTTTGAAGATCAAAGTGTCTGTGTCCTCTGGAGGCAATTGTATTCGCACATACAGACCAGAAATAAAGAAGGGAACATACAACACCGTCGTTGTCAATGTGAAGACTGTAGTTGCTGACAATCTGCTTTTTTACCTTGGAAGTGCCAAGTTTGTGAGTCTGTCTCCTTCTTTTCATGTCAGAGCTGCTCGTTCAAATCAGACTACTGACAAATACAGAAGATGAGAAAGGCTTTTTTTTTTTTCCTCCCAGAGGTTTCAAAGCAGGAGGAGAAGGCCTAAGATAATTTAGACATTTGTTGTCTTTGGTATTAATATAGAGACTTGTAAAATATGACCCACAATTTTTTGATGCATATATCTTTATATTAACTACATATGAAGTAGCAGGCTTGAACAGGAACTGCACTAAAGCAAATAGAGCAATGTTGGAGTTGATTGTGGGTTTTTCTGTGGGAATTATTTAGTTAATCATATCGCATCCGTCAAAACTCCTATTTATTGTAATTTTAAGTCAAGGCTACAATTTCAAGCATAATAATGGTGAATGACTCAGTCTCCCACGAGCCCTATAGCTTGCAGAGTTCTAGAATAATCAATAGTAATTCAGTAAATGAGAAAGGTGTTCTATTTCCAACAATTTGAACTATTAATTTATTTACCTAATACAAAATGAAAAGGTTAGATGTCATCCTGTATCCTGATACCTTTCTGCCATCACAAACAATGTTTCTCTGAGTTAAATCCTTTTCTTGATGGCTGTAATATTTACATTTCAGTAAGTCTCGCAGTCATTTACTGCATATCACTGACAAATCATTTGCCATCTTTGGCTTGAGGTTCCTTCTTTGAACCAATGAAGGCAGAAAAAAGAGTTTCATTTTAGATCACTGTGAGAATTAATGTTCATACTCTACTGTCTATATCTGTGTTTCTGATGCCTCATTAGACCTGAAATGTGAAGAGTTCTGGAAACTTCCTTAATTAAAGTGTGATATTGCTTCTATTTGCATATTTTACATGTAGACTGACTTCTTGGCCATAGAGATGCGCAAAGGCAAGGTGAGCTTCCTGTGGGATGTGGGATCTGGAGTTGGAAGGGTGGAGTATCCAGATCTGACCATTGATGATGGGTTTTGGTACCGGATTGAAGCCTCTAGGCAAGTATATATTTCAATTCCAAGATTTTAGAAGAAAAGTAGGTAATATGAGAAATTCCAGTCTGGTTTAATGAAAGCTTTTGAACCTACGTCCATTAGTACCTGAAGTGTATGCACTATGATTACTATTGAAATGTGAATTCTCCTGTGTCAAAAATGTATTTGAATCCCATATTTCCCCTCTAGCATCAACAATCTGTGACTGCTTAGATTCTTTTCTGTTTACCTATTACTCTATTGATTCTCTTCTTCAACTAACTTCCTTTTAAAATCAATTACCGGTTTTGGCACTCAGATGAGTAACTGCTGTTCTTTTCTCCTTGAATTTTAAAGAGGAGCAGCTTTTCTGAATTTCTGGTCTTGATACAGTACTGCAAATGAATGGTCTGTCATACAGCAGTATCTTGACTCTTACTCAAAATGCCATTTCCATAGGCAGAATGTCTCATCAAACTGGAGATATCTAAAAAAAGATACAGTTTATTAAAATTGAAGAAAGAAATATTCAGGAAACTTAAAATATATTTTGTCATTTGAGATCAGCTGTTTAATGCTTTTGAAATTTAGGTATATGGATACCTGAATATTCAAATTCCACATGTTAGTCGAAGCTTGTATTTTTCATTCAAATAGCAAACACATGACATATGGTGTAGTAATTACAACATAAGGATTGCATAACTTTATAGCCTTTATCTTGAACAGATCTTAGTAATTTAGGTAATATCATCTGTATTGTAATTTGATAAAAAGCTGAGTAATTTCTCCTGCATCATTACAGTTAATTTCACATAGTATTAAACCTAGAATGGGTAATATAGTCAGAAAATGAGGGAATGAAGGAGAAAGAAAACAAAGCGCTCTAATTCCAGTTGCATGCATAGCTATCAGAGGAGGAAATGGCATCTAGTTTAAATAATTTAGTGAAATCACAGAAATCAGCCATTCAGGGCAGAGAATTAAATAAAATTATGGCACCAGCTCCAGAAGATAGCTTAATGAAACCTTATTGCTGGGAAAATACAAACTGGGGTACAATACGAATTGTTGTAATCTTCACCAGTTATATTATGCATACTAAAGCAGCTTCATGACACAGTAATGCCAGGCTTTCATTTGCAAGAAAGCTGCTTCAGCAGAATATGAAGCCAGGACATGGTATAAAATTCACACATCCTACAAAAGTCCATTGCCTATTAGCTAGTTATTCTGGATATATAGGCTGTGCATGCCATTAGTTTTGAACAAACTGCTGGATCAGCAATGTAGAACAATTACAGCTGCACAAATCTAAAGTACAGAGCAGTGTTTAGGAGAATTACATTGCAGAGGCATTAGTTGGATTTGTGGGATTAAGACGAAGAGTTTGGGACTGATTTTACATTCTTAAGGCAGACTTCATAATTCACTTACCCTATGAAAGTCCTCAACTTTGAACATTTAGTCCATTTAATACCTCTCTTCTAACCCCCTTCGTAAACTGTTGGAGAGTTTTACTCATTTCATTTCCTCACCTATTTTCTCTGAATTTCTACTCAGTTCCAGCCACAGACTTTTTCAGTCTGACAGAACTGCCTGAACAGCTGGAGCAGGGTATCTGCTTAGAATGGAGACATAAGATGAAATTCTGCCCTTGCTGAATTTTGCCATTGTTTTCATAGTGCTGGTACATCCTCTGTCATCCTCCAGTTTTACAGAACCAACTATCAATAGAACAGTGTCTTCTAACCTGATGACTTGTCATGCACTGGATAGCACTGTCTTTTTTGCTGCCAAGTTAGCCAAGATCTTTCTTCAAGCTCCGTTGTCCTCCTTAAATAAGAGATAATTATTTATGGAAGAGACTCCATTGTTAGCAGTTAGAGTGTTGCTTGCTGAAGGGCAGGAAGGTACTGCAAAGGGATCTGGACAGGCTGGATCGATGACCTGAGCCCAGCTGTATGAGGTTCAATATGGCAAAGGGCCAGGTCCTGCACTTGGGTCACTACAGCCCCATGCAATGCTCCAGGCTGGGGGAAGAGCAGGCATGTAACTTTTCATCTAGAAAAGCTGTGTGTGGAAAATTTTGGTTCGTCTAATTAATCATCTTTCTTCCTTTCCCTAGAAACGTTTGTGTACAAATATAAATATAAAATTTGTGTTCTGAAAACAATCTCAATTTTGTTTAGTTTGAGAATAGGTAACAATTAATTTTTAGAGTCTAATCAGGTAGCCAGCAAATTATCACGTGTAATCTAAAAAGTGGATAGTCATTCTTGATAGGTATACACTCTTTATAACCTGGTATGGAAAAAGAGAGTTTTGTTTAAAATGGTTCATTTATGCATTAAATATGAAACATAGCCATTAGCAAAATTCTAATGGTATCCATGCTGTGTATTTCAATGTTAATTAGGATTGCATGTCAGGAATGTTAGGAATTTCCAAATCAAAATGGCAGTGGTCATGGGAAATCCAGCATTCCTGTTAAAAATGAGATAAAGCAGCAATTTGTAATGTTATCCATAAATCCACAGCACGTGATCTCCCTCTGCCTCATCTCCCAGCCACTCCTCTACCACACACATTACTGAACACACTAGACACTTCATTTGCACATGACAGGGTTTAGGTCATACTCTATGCTTATTTCTGCAATCACATTATGGACCCAGAAATTGTGTGTGTTGGTCACCAAACTCTTTCCTTGCCAGTTACTACATTAATATAACCTAAGAAGTAGAAAACAAACTGATGGAGAAACTATTAACAATTGGCAAAGTCTGTTGTTTTTTTCAATGCCATCAATATTTGATGTGGCTCATAGAGGACAATGAGGTAACATTCTCAAGCATAATGGGGTTTGTGCCTGTTTGATAAGCAACCAGAGAGCTCCACTGCAGAAAATGCAAACTCTGTGCATCACAGTGAAGGAAACTGAAGTACTTTATCACATGATTATTCATTTCAGTTCAAATATAATCTAATCAACCTTATGAAGTTTAGAAATTTAATTTGGAACCTTGCCTGCAACATTTGTTATGTCAAGAAACAATTGCTTAACACTAATTTTATCACAGTAATTTAAAAAAAAATACTTCTTTGTTTTTGTCAATGCAAGCTCCACTTCATGTGTTTAGTGAATTTTGTTCAAAGAGGACATTCGGGTGAGAAAAAAATCTGGTTCTGTGATTATGGCTTTAACTTATGCAGGCATAAGAGTCTGTTCATTTGTATCAAAATGGAGCATAATCAGGACAATAATACTTGCCTCTATAAAAATAATTGCCATATAAAATAGACTTTTTCTATGTTTGGTGTAACTACTGACTTTGTACTCTTTAATTATTTTTTTAAAATCTCTAGAACTGGGAAAAATGGCTCAATATCAGTGCGAGCTCTGGATGGTCCTAAAGCCAGCATCGTGCCAGCCACATTCAGTGCTGTCTCTCCACCTGGATATACCATTTTGGATGTAGATGTTAATGCTGTACTGTTTGTTGGTGGTTTAACTGAAAAAATTAAGGTAATGTCTTGCCCGACGCAAGGGTATTAACTGGCTGTTTATGTGGACAAATTTTGTTATTTCTTACAACAGAAGTAGTAATTCTTAACATGCTGACATCCTTGTAGGAGGTGCTTTAGTAGAAAATAAGATACCTACACTCTTGAAAAATTAGTGAGATTTGCCTAGACCTAGGTGCACACACCTGAGATTTCTCTGTCCATGCTGGTAACTTCTAACCAGAAGCCACGTGGCTCACGGTACTGTTGCAGCATTTAGCCAAAACCACGAATTCCTGCT